CCTTTAAAAAATATGAAGGAAAGACACAACATGGTGGGGTTTGAGGAAATTGAATATGGAGGAGAAGCTTGCCACTTTGGTGCAGTACCAGTGCTGAGGAGAACACTGCAGTGCCGTTGGTGGTGTTTTATACCAAGATACTGAGTGTTGAAGCTTGTTGGGGCGTTCATGTTGACTACACTGCAGAGGCAGTGATGCATATCTCTGTCTCCCTTGAGCTTGCGTAGGTTCTGTTTGTCTGTGCTATAGTTAAAGCCTCAGTTCCTTTGCTGTTACAGCACAGACTGTTCATGTCCACATGAAGATGGTGATGTGCAGGATTTATGTGTGAAATTTGTGCCTTAGCAGAAATGTAAACAAATTTGGTCTCCAGTAGAGCTGGGCGATAAAGATCATTGAAATCTCTTTCTCTCAATAGAAATACGAGCAATAGAAATCACGGACAACATGAAAAGCGAGGGACAATGCTGAACCAGTCATGTGGCTGAAATAGAGTTACGTCCACATCAGGTTAGATTGACACACAGAGCATAGTATGTGCAGCGAGCAGCAACTCATGTGCTATTGTTTGGGCTACTGCAACTATACACACTAGCACATTAGGAGCGCTTGGCGAGATAAAATGCAAAATTATTACAGAAAACTGTTAATGAAAACCCAGTTAACAGTGTTACTGAAGTGGCACCCCAATGGACATAGACCAAGGGTCAAAAGATGAGGGTACGATTGAAAAGAAGAGTCAGAACAAACTGCCAGCTGCGTTGTTTCCACAAAGGCAGTTAACACAAGCGATTGCTTTTACCCTCTGAAGCATTGCCATCCTTCAGAGTACGCACAATACACTCCAGACTATTTCTTCCATACCATTTCTGTCATATCATGAATGCTTACTTTATTGTAAAAGACGCAATGACAGAAAGTGCAGTTGAAAATGTTGGATTTAAGTAGCTGATTCAATTAACTAACCCTAGTTAACATTTCTCTTGAGCAGCACTTTACCAGCTCTACACGGAGTGCAGAGCTGGTAAAGTGAATGTTGAATGAGTCATACTTTGCTAACATGTTGGATTTTTGGTCACGTTGCACGTCTGATCCATGTATGAGCCTCACTGCCCATTTCATTGAGACACTATTGCACTTCTCGTGCCTTTAAGAAATGTATGTGTATATGTTTTTGCCTTGGAGCATAGGCAGACCATCATTCAGTGACTTTGTCAGTTTTGCGTATGTTCTCCTTTGTTTCCTTGTGAACTTTGATTTGTACATTTGATTTGTATTTGAATTTTTTGTTCAAAGATATTAGTGATAACTGCCATCCTGGTTGAATTCAGCTGAATTGCATGTCCCTTTTGGTTCCCCTTACTGATGCCTCTGTTTCTAAAATTGCTACCAAGGAAACAAGACATATACTCTCACTGTAACAGGAAGTGGAGTTTTGCTGGGCTTTGATAGGTTATGAGCCTGGATTCAGGAAGGCTGACTTCTGTGATTTTGCTCTTCTGCTGCCCAAGAGTAGTTTTCATGTCTGAGAATAATCTCAAGGGTCCCCCAAAATGTAGAAAATAATTTTGCCTGTGTGTCCATCCCCACTAATCCATTTTCATTTTAAGCCCTAGGTTGTTGCTTGTTTTCCACTAGCATTCTCATTACTGTGGCGTTTTGGGACCAATAAAATGGAGCTTTCTGCTGACCCAGTTTTAAAACTCTGGGCTTGTGTTTTGGTCTGGACAGACAGATACTTAAACTTGTGAAAAGGCCACCACAGATGAGCACCTTCCCTTCTTGACAGCGATTTATCAAAGTCATCCTAGAAGCAATTCTCGCCACTCAACAGCCATCTTGTTAACAAATTTGGGCAGTTATTTTGATGCCCCTTTTTATAATTGTAGAACAAGTCTGAGCTCTTATTTTCAGTAGTCACCGGAACAAAATCAGAATGTACAGAATCCCCTGCTCATACAGATTTCAATTCACTCTAAAATAAGAATTGAAGAGCTGTTCCTTTTTTCCCCCTCGCGTGAGATATGCATGTACTTGTATGTGTATGTTGTGATGCTGACTGTATGCAGTTTCTCAGTCAGCATCTCTGGCTAATCCCATTAGAACACTTGAACCACATGCCTTGATTCTTTCTGGTTACAGATTTAATTGATCAAGTGATAAGGGCACTCTGTTATATCTTTACCTTTATCTTTAGTAGATGTGGCCTCCAACACATAGCTGACACTTGTAAATCTCTGCTGTGCGTAACTGCAAGTTTATCAACTGGAATTGGCTCATGTGATTTCCAGCTTGGATGCTGATTGGCTCTTTTCCTGTTACAGAATTCTCCTATAGAGTCATGAACGTTTGCGTGCCATGTCTCTGATCCTGTCAATTAGGGCTGCACGATTAATCGTTAGAAAATCTCGATTCATACTTATGTGCGATCTCATTTCCAAATGACAACGATTAAAAAAAAAAAAAGACGACGACGACGATTGTACCGCATTTTGATCCGGGACGTAATCTGCATGAAAACAAGCGCTCACTCTTCCTGCTCAACAAATGACAAGGGCGGAGCCTTATACCACGTGATACAGAAGCTGCCGTGTGATGCTAAAATTAGCAGAGAAAAAACAACGGAGAGCACGACAGGGATGACGAGAAAGTGACAGGAGAAAATCCGTCCCGGTCAACCACCCAAACATCAGTAACGGGAACCTTATACAGCGCTTCCCTATACACGTCGAACTCCCGCAGGCACAAAGAAATTAAGAAGGCTATCACTTATCACCTGACCAAACATATGGCTCCCATCAACACTGTGCAAAACGAGGGATTTAGGAAAATGATCAACACCCTAGACAAACGCTACACAGTGCCGTCCCGCAACTATTTTTCTATTGTTGCACTACCTGCTCTATACACGCAGCGTCGAGCAACGGTGGAGACGGAATTTCAAGCAGTACAACAACAAAACGTGAGACATTTGTTGTTTTTAGGTTTATTTATCGTTTTTATGTTCAGTCTCAACTGTTACGAAGTTGATGTGGAGTTAATAAGTGCAATAAATATTTATACTGGAAAAGAAAATCGTGAGAGAATCGTGATCTCAATTCTAAGCCAAAAAAATCGTGATTCTCATTTTATGCAAAATCGTGCAGCCCTACTGTCAATTACAAATTTAAGTTAAACTTAAGCCATCTCATACATACACATTTAATAGCTTTATCTTCTTGGTGTGGTTACTTTTCACATTGTTAATAATAATACTGTCACTACCATTATTTCCATTAGGCATGCACCAGTTCAACTTCTTTCTTTCCAGTATGACACTAAAACATTGGCTTAGAGCATCTGCTGATTTGAAGAGTTAAATAGTAAGCCGTGGTCTTCATTGTGGGGAACAGACTGGTAATTGATCTTTTATGTTTCACAGGGTATCAGTATAAAATGTACCAGATAAATACATCCAAGAATACATTTATTCATTTGGTATTTATTTGTAAAATAATAAATAACACAGTGACAAAAGCAAAAACAAAACCTAAAGTATCTAACATTTAAGACGAGTGTGTGTTTAGGATATTGTGCTTTTTATAGTTCTGTTAGTGAGTTGCTGTGAATGCACCTCGCACAATAATGTAACACAAACTTGCACAACATACTCGCGATGCATGTTGGCAGGAGAAGAGTGAAGTGAATTAATTCCATGTTATTTTATCATAATTGTAAAAACATCTTTTTAACAAGTATCACACAAAGAGCATAATGAGTGAGAGACGCCAACAGCCTATACATCAACATCATCTTCACTTTTCAGTCATTGCAGAGCACTTGAATAGTGCGGTTATATCAAACAACAATGCAAACATAAAGAGTTACTGCTGGCATACCATCTTGAAAGTGACAAAGCTTTTACCTTCCCCCATGCTAGCAGCTTATCCACCACTGCTGACAAGAATGTTGCACGAACATGAATATCTATCTCAGCTTTTTTGGTCTGGTTTTGACCAATACC